CCCCTCGCGCCGACGCTGTTGCTTATTGTCTTGCGAGTGCTCCTGCTGCTCATCCCTCCTCGTTCCTGCGCCCACGGCCCTCCTCCCCCTTCTCGCCGTCGCCGCAACTCTTCGGCTTCGGCGCCGGGCCTCGGCGATCGAGGGCCCGCGGGGCCGCGGGGCCTGGCCCTCGCCCTCGGCGGGGCCATGGAGGACCCGCCCGGCTGGGGAGGGGTAGGATAAGGAGGAGGAGGAGGATAAGGAGGAGGAGGATAATAAGGAGGAGGAGGAGGAGTATAAGGATAAGGAGCGGGATAAGGGGGAGGAGGAGGAGGAGGATAAGGAGGATGAACAGGATAAGGAGGAGCAGGATAACTTAAGGAGGAGGTTGGGGACATGGACGGAGGCGGGAAACACGAGGAAGGATCAGGATGCCCCCCAAGGAGGACCGCGGTGCGAGGAGGGGTTGGGCCTGGATGGGGGAGGAGCAGCTGCAGCAGCAGGAGACCCAGATAGCGACATCGAGATCGTGCCATCATTTCCCACTGCCTCGTGCGTGCGAATATCTGCCCATTCGGCACGCGCTGCCCAGTCGGGCACGACTCAAAGTCCAAGCATCCGCTGAGGGCGAAGGGTGAGGATGACGAGCCGCGTCGCTCGCACACCCCTCCGCCTAGAGAGCAACATGCCAGCGGCGCAACGCGTGCAATAACAACGTGGAAACTGCCTCGTCGTCGTCGTCGTCGTCGTCCTCGCCGTCGTCGTCGCCGTCGTCGCCCTAATCGTGACGGTCGACCTCGCCTGGCCGATCCCACTATCGATCTCACTGTCGATATCACGCGATATGCATCACAATCAAAAACATTATCGATCTCACAATCGAGATCGCTAACGATGCCGCTATCGATTTCACGATCGATCTCGCTATCGGTATCATTCGATTGACGTCGCTATCGATATCACTTGATCGTTCTCACTATCAATCTCAACCCCCACCGCATCCACCACATAATTGGCAAAATCGCCAATGCAGCAGCCTGGGCGCGCCGAGCAGCCTTCCACTCAGCTCTGTGGAAGCTTCTTGAAGGAGGCCGCGAGCTTCCTCTGCTTCGGCATCGGCTCCCAAAGCTCGTCGCGATCGGCCTCCCAGCCCTCTGGGTTCGCCATGGGCGGCAGCTCCATCGGGCGATGCAGCACCGGCCTGACCGCGTCCTGCCAGAGCTTCATCAAGCGCTGGATGGGCGCCAGCACTCTGCCGATGGTGGGCACTGCCATCGTGTTGCCCAGCGCCACGATCAGCTGGCTGCCGCGCAGCGTCGTGGTGAGCGAGTCGGGCTGGAACCCCAGCACGAGGCAGCGCTCCCTGAGGGTCATGTAGCGGCCGTCGCCCGACACCTTCTGCCCCGCAGACCCCAAGAGCCACACGTAGGCAGACTTAGTCGTGAAGCAAGCCACCGAGTCAATATGGAGGTACTTGCCAAACAACCTGTCAGGGCTCCTCGTGAGGTCGCACATGCCGACCGCGCCAGCAGGGACATGCTTGGCCGCGAACAGGTCGTTGTACACCTTGCAGGCGCAGAGGGGGGCGTGGCGAGGAGGAGAAAGGGGGGGGGGGGGGCGGAAGCAAGAGCAGCAGGGGGAAGAGGAGGAGCACGAGGAAGAGGAGGAGGGCCCAGGCGGCCCAGGGCACGACGTTTCCACAGGGCGCCCCGAAAAAGAGGATGCCGTCGGCGGAGGTAGAGTGAGGGAGAATGATGGAGAAGCAGTGCGGAGTTGAATCCCATCCTCCCTCCTCCTCCTCCCTCCTCCTTCCCCTCCTCGCTACTGTCGTCCTCCCATCCTCCCTCCTCCTCCCTCCTATCCCTTCTCCTGCTCCTCCTCCTCATCCTCCTTTGTCTTATCCTTGCCCCTGCCCCTGCTCCATCCTCTCCCCCTCCTCCTCTTCCTACCCTCGGTTGCATGTGGGAGGGGCCAGCGCCAGGGCCTTCACGTTCTCGCGAAGGCCAGGCGCGGTGGGCAACGAGCCCATCGTCTCCTGGTCCTCCAGGAAATCCACGAGCTTCACGGGCGCCATCCTGGGCAGCGGCTCAATGGGATCGCGGATCGAGATGCGCTGGCGGATCGGCCGAAACAAGATGGACCGAAAACCTGAGATGAAGATCCGACCACGCTTAGCGGGCAAACCATCATCAGTAGAGGCAACCTCCTGCCAGGTGACGTGGAACTCCTGGGGCTGTCGTCGACGTCACCGTCGTCGCGGTCGTCGTTGCAATGACCCCTGAATCAACTCTTGTATAAATCCTCGGGCGATTGTGGCGGGCGGCCGGGGCGTCGGCATCGTCGCAGGTTTCGTGGCGTTCCTTCCCCAACCAGTGCTTGCACTATAGCGTCTGGGCGATTTCGGTGGATGCCTGAGCCCCAGGCAGTGCTACCCTATATGTGCTAGCACTCGCGGGGTTCCCCATGAGACCTGCTGGAGCTATGCTACCCCCCCCTGTTTCGACACCTGGCCATCGGGCTGTGTCGGGGCCATTCGTCGTCGGCGTCGTCGTCATCGTCGTCTGTCGTCGTCGTCGTCGTCGTCGTCGTCGTCGTCGCCCACGGCCCGACCCAAACAGACAAGGCCGCTGGAGCGAGGGCGATCCGCCCAGCCTCCCTCGAGACGATCTCCTCCTCCTCCTCCTTCCTCCCTCCTCCTCCTCATTCCTCCTCCTTCTCCTCCCTCCTCCTCCCTCCTCCCTCATCCCTCCCTCGTCCCTCCTCCTCCTCCTCCTCCCCCTCATCCTCCTCTTCCCTCCCCCCTCCCCCCTTGTCCGGCATGTGCTGCTTGAACCACGGCAGGAGCGTGTCGAAGAGCGCGGGCGGCTGATCCTTGTATTTCATCGCGATCCCCTTGACGTTCTCTAGGGCGAACCACTTCAGCTTCTTCCCCCCCCGCCACTTCAGGAGCTCCGGCATCTTCAGGCACGCCGACGAGGATGAGGTGGAGGCGCTGCAGGCCGCGCGAGGGGCGGGGTGTAGAAAGGGCGCAACTGAGAGGAGCAAGGGGTGAAGAAGAGTGCGGGAGGGCAGAGGCGAAGTTGGAAGTGAGGATGGCGACAAGCAGGAGGAGGAGGACGAGGAAGACTAACAGGGTTCCGAGGAAGGGAAATATCCAACATAACCAGGGTGTAAGAGGATGTAGGAGAGGGGGGGAGGAGGGGGGGGGCCCCGAAGGCAAGATGGAGGAGACAGGAGCAGGAAGAGGAAGAGGATGGGAAAAGGACGGAGTGGAGGAGGGGCAGAAAAGGACGGAGTGGAGGACGAGGAAGAGGATGCGAAGAGGAAATCAAATCGAATCGATCGCACCTTCGCGCGCTCGTCGTCGAATGTCTTGCGGCTGCCGCAGAAAGACCAAGGGGGGCAAGGCCATCCGCAGACGAAGCCGTCTGTCTCGTAAAAGGGCCCGCCCTCGATCTCGTTTCTGCAGTTGACCGAAAGGTTCATGATGTCGCCATTCACCTGTGGGCGCGCGGCCGGGAGCGGAGCGGGCGGGGGAAGGGTAGGTGGAGGGCAGGGAATGGGAGGGAAGGGAATGCCACCTAGATCCTCGAAGTACATTCCACGGGGTGCGGCGATGAGGAAAATGCCCAGAAGTGGCGACGAGGATGTCACGAGAAACTCGGGTACGTAAGTGCACAGCCGACGAGGGCAGGACGATGAGGAGGTAGAGCCAGTGCGACGGGAGTTAGCCCAGGACGCACTCGCGATGCTGCAATGCACCCCCCTTCGCTTGAGGCGAGAACCTGATCGGATGTCCACGAGGTTCCGTGGGCAGTGTACAGGGCGGTTGGCCGCGGTGGCGACGACGAACAACTGCGACGACGATGTGGAGCGACGGCGATGATGGCCCCCCCTCTCTCTCTCTCTCTCTCTCTCTCTCTCTCTCTCTCTCTCTCTCTCCCTCTCTCTCTCTCTCTCCGTCTCTCTCTTTCTCTCGCTCTCTCACTCTCTCACTCCCTCTGCCACCCGAAGACCTTCAAACCGTATGGGGGGGGGCTCCCTGGGACCCTGAAGCGATGCACTGGACTCGTGCAGGACCACAGGGCCAGGAGTTCTACGGGGCCCACTGAGGGCATGGGGGACCTGGCGATTCTGACGCTGCGGCCACGAGGTGTTGTTGGCATGCAAGGGGGGTCTCTGGGCTCGGCTCCAGCGGAGTGGAATTGTCTGAGCCCGAGTTTTTCACTTCATTTTCTCCCTGAGCAATGGCTGTGTACTCTGCGGCAGAGTACTCTGCGGCATGAGGCAGAGTCTCTGCCTCATGCCGAGTCGATGCTGGCCCCTCGCGCCACTGCGGCAATCGATGAGCCCGACGAGTTGGAGGCGGGCTAGCGCCACGGCATCGGAACCATATCCAATGAAGCACAAGTCCCAAGCAAGAAAAAAAAGCGGCTGCTCACCGAAGCTCCGTGACCCCATCTGCCCACATGATTCCTGCGCACCCTCCCCCTGGGCAACCTAGAGCGCCGGTCGCCGACATCCCTTCGACGAGAGGCTAGGCATCGAAACGCACATCGAAAACTGCGCGCCTTCTCAACGCCGTGGGTGCTGGGCGCTAAGATGGCCATAGCCAGCGGTGTAGCAGACGTGGAGCGGTAGAGGAGATAGCAGAGGTGCACGCACACCAGCTCAGAATGTAGGAGAAGGACATGGGGTCAATAGAGCTGGCGAGAGAGAGTGAGATCAAAATGAGGAGGGGGAGAAATATCACGGGCATGGGGAATGGGCTGACATCACCAGAGGATGACAGGGGGTTGGCGAGGGGGCAGGAGGAGGAGGAGGTGGACGGCGAAGGAGCCGCAGCACGAATGCGGAGAGCATCAGCAGAGAGGCAGCATCAACAGCGGCAGCATCATCAGCGGCAGCAGCACTGGGAGAGAGGGGGAGTGAGAGCGCAGAGAGCAGGAGCCTGCTAGTGCAGCGCGGCACTAGTGCAGCCGGCATTCGGTCGCAAGCGCGGCCGCTGACCGCTGGAGCGTCTACGCCGCTGGCGCCTCTTGACCAGCAGCGTTGGCCTGCAACCACTTCCACCACTCCTCGTACATGGTCCCGCGGATGCCTGGGTAGGCCTCTATGGCGGCAGAGACCGTCTTCTCCACGCTGGCCAGCTCCCCTTCCCAATTGGGCGACATGCCCCACCTGATGCCCTTCACCAGCGAGTTCCGAAAGATCACGTAGACGAAGCCCGTCGGAAGAACGGCGAAGTCGCCTTCCTTCAGGACGCAGCAGAAGTTGTTGCCCTGCTTGGCCAAGCGCAGCATGTCGTGGCCTGACAGGTTCTTCAGCATGTCCGCCTGGAAGGCGAGCCCTCCTTCGCTGACGTCCATCTTGGCCCCCACTACCACCTCCTCGCCCTCCAAGATCAAGCGGCACTCGGCCATGCCATACGGCGCAGGCGACACCGAGGAATGCAAGCGCGGGATGATGAAGCACTGGGCCCCATACAGCACCTTGAACAGCGCCTGCTCCTTGGGCCCCGAAGCGATGAAGGCGGTGCGGAAGACGTGCCCAACATCCTTCTTCTCCAGCTGGCTGAGCATGCGGATCTGAGCCAACACCGCTGGCTGGACCACGGAGCCGAAAGCGGGCGCAGCGCCCTGCGAGCCCCAGAGCTCCACCTTGCCACGCATCCACGACTCGCAAGCCTTCCAGCCGGCCGCCGCCTCCACATCCTTGCACCGCTCGGGGGCCGCCACCACGGTGATCTTGCCCGCGCTCAGGGCAGCGAGGTCGTCCGAGACGTTGATGGGCTTGCCGCGCGTCTCAGCCGCGACGACCTGCATCATGGGGCCGAGGTTGCTGTCTAGGGCGACCTCCATCTGCGGCGCATCATCCGTCGACTTGCGTTTCTTACCAACGCCGACCTCCTGCTTCTTGGCCCACTGCGCCTTGGCGTCGCTGATGTGCCTCTTGGTCACGACGGCATGGGAATCAACGTCCTTCTGCGAGTCGCTCAACGCCTTCAACTCCTCCCGCAGGGCCTTCGAATTGCCGCCCCAACAGGGGTTCCTGATCGTGGCCAGCATCTCGCCTGCCACGCGATCGATGCGAGCCAACTCCACCTGAAGCGACTCCTTGACGCTGGCCAGCTTGTCCATCGTGGGCTTCCAGGCCTCCGACGCCAGCTCCTCCTTCGAGACCCTGGCCTTAATGAACTCCTCCACCGAGAGGGCTTCGTTCGCCTACGGGGGCTCAACCAAAAAAGGAACGGGTGGAGAGGGGGGCGACGTTAGGGGGAGAGGGCAGCGAGAGGGAGGAGGGAGACAAGCGACGAGAGGGGCACGAGAGAGGGCCGGGAGGGGCTGGCGGGAGGAGGAGGAGGAGGAGGAGGAGGAGGAGGAGAATATGAGGAGGAGCTTCAGCTACAGCAGCCTCAGGAGTAGGAGGGAGAGCGCGAGGGGGCATTGAGATCAGGAGGCTGGGAGAGCAGAAGGAGGAGAAAGAGGGGGCGGAGGAGGAGGGGGACAACAACGATCCCACCCTCCTTCCTTCCCTCTCAGTTCCATCCCTCTCTGCCGTCGTGGCCCTCCTACTCCTCCTCCCACCTCCTCATCCTCCTCCCCCCTACTTCTCTCACCTCCTCCCTCTCCTCCCCCTCTCCACGTCCCCCCATTTCCCCTCCCCCTCTTCCTCATCCTACTCCTCTTGTCCTCATCCCTCCTCCCCCCCATTGCCGCGCGTTTTGCATCGCCAGCCACCTGGGCTTGCAGCTGGGCCGCCATCTTCTTGCTCTGAGCGTCGATCGCCTTGTCCGCCTGAAAGCGAGCCTGCGCGATGTTCACAGCCTTGCCGCTAGTCTGCTGCACGTGATTCTTGGCCGCGACGTCCTCAGCAAGGATCATGGCCTGGTACCGCTTCTGGGCATCCCGCCTCTCCTGCTCCTGCTGCAAGGAGCAGGTGAACGCAGCGCCGAAGTTCGCCACGTCCTGCACGTTGAGCTCCGACGAAGGGGGCGCGTGGACGCCGTTGACGTACGTCTCGGGCGGCGCAGCGGCCGCTGCACTGCCATCGTTGGGCAAGTCGCTGATGGCGTGCATGCTGCCCTGGCGGGACTGATCCAGGGCGCGCGTCATTGCCTGCATGAACTTATCGAGGTTCGCCCGGGAGCTCGTGTCTCCATCCTTCACGGCGGTGGCTTTGACCCTGCTGGCGGTGACCTGATCTGCGAGGATGCCCTGGTACTCACCGATCAACCAGCAGCCAGTATTGTTGGGGTCCTCAATGACAGCGTACTGGTTGCTCATGCAGCGGCGGCGGAACTCGCTCAGCTGAGCTGGCCTCGTGGGGAAGCCTTCCAAGGCAAGATCGCGCGCGATGAGGGGCCAAGGCTTCCAGTGGACCCTGCCCCTCGCCTCCTCGCCCTCTTCCTTCTCCGAGACCATCGCGAACCTCACCAGCTCCTTGAGCTCCTCAGGCGCGGCCGAAAGCAATCCGAAAAAATAAAGGGGGAGGAGGAGGTGGAGGTGGAGGCGAGGGGGGGGGCGGGCAGCACGGGCGGAGGGGATGGCAGGGGGGAGGCGGACCAAGAGGGGAAAGGCTTGAGGGAGGAGTGGGGGGAAGCTGAAAGCGGGATGCGACGCCCCCCCCCCCCTGCCCCGGCCCCAGGTAAGAACGACGTGCAAGACCGACTCGACCGAGCTGCGCGGCCATGGTGGAGGGGTCGGGGCTGCGGGGAAGGAGGTGGGAGGAACAGGGGGGCCCTTGATTCGCACCTCTGCTCCCCTCCGTGCTCATTTATCCCCCTAGCATCGTCTCCCTCTCCTCCAGTATTTCCTCCAACAACCACTCCTCCTTTCTCGAATGCCGCTACCATTCGTGACGCTTTGACCCGATGGTCCGGGACTCCACTCGAACGGCGGGTGGCGTACCACTCGGTCCTCTCCGCGTCGGTTTTGTCGGTGAACCATTTCTTCAGGGCCTTGTTCTTCTTCCAGCGCTTCGTGAGCGCCTTGTAGTTGTTGTGGCACTTCTCGCAGATGTCTTTCTGCGTCCTATCGCCATCTTCGTTCCTCTCATAGATGGGCAACTCGAACTGGCACCTCTTGCACTCGAACTTCTCGCACGAGCCGATCATCTCCTCGGCGTCGCCAAACCCGAAAATATCGTGGCCAGGCTTCTGATGGGTCTCCGTCACTTTGCTGCGCGCCAGGCCCGAGCCACCGCTGGTGCCCGAGCGACCTCTGCTGGGGGACCACGCTGGAGTCGCCGCGAAGGCGTGGCCGCCAGCGAGGCCAAGAGAGGCAAGCATGCCCTGCTGATGCTGGTCAGGCCCTGGAAGCTCATGGAACGCAGGCGTCCCAGGAAGGCTGCCGCCGTGCCCCAGAGGCGTCGGGCACGATCCTGGGAGCTCGACAGTCTTGGCCCCTCCGACCCCATCTTTGCCCAACAGCCCCTCCAAGTGACCGTCCAACTCCATGTCCGCAGCGGCTGCGCCCCCACCAGCCGCCGAGAGCCCCTCTGGATTCTCAGCGCCTCCCCCAGTTTGATCCTGAACCTCCTCTGTGGCGTCCTCTGGGATCTCCTCAGCTGCACTCGGCCCATTTGCACCCGAAGCTGCGGCCTTCCCCACTGGAGCCTCCTCCACCGCCTCGGCCGCGGGCGCCGCAGGAGGCCCAAGCTCCTCAGCGGGCGCCCCCGTAGGCGGAGGTTCGCGCGCGGCCTCGACCCTGACCTCGGGGGCATCCTTCGGGGGCATGCCCTTCGAGCTCCCCTTGGCAAGAGCCTCGCCGATGGACAAGGCCCCGCTCGGCGTGCCTGGCGTTGCAGTCTTCGCCTTGGGCGCCATCGCGAAAGTTGATCGCTGGGCAACTGAGCTGACGACCCCGAAAGCTCACCGAGGTACTCTGACCAAACACCCTGAACCACAAAGGGCTGCGACTCAACCGCATCCAGACGCTCTGACAAGATATGCACATATGGGGAAACCCGCCTGAAATAATTGCGAGGAAGGGCTTCGGCTGGGAGGGTGCGTTGCAGCATCATTCACGCGTACTCGCGGTGCTCTTGTCATCATTCACCTCCTCCCCCTCGTCATCATCATCTGAATCGCTATATGAGCCCTCACCCTTCCTCGCTCCTCGCTCGCCCTTCTCCTCCCCCGCCCTCTCCTCATGCGCGAGACGTATCGCGGTATGTCGTTTCCTCTGGGGGGTGGGTGCCTTCTCCTCCTCCTGCTCCATCTCATGGATATACAGGCCGCTCGCGCGCGAGTGGCCTTCCGCTCGGCCCCTTCCCCTTCCCCCATTCAAATGCCCACCCCTTGTCCGCAGCGGCCGGGGAGGAGGAGGGGCGGGAGGGGGAGGGTGGGATGGGAAGGAGGGGGAAGGAGACGAGAGGAGGATCAGTAACAGAGGGGAAGGATGAGTTTTTGTTGTGTCCAAGCGTCCTGTCTCAACGAGTGACCCCCAATTCGCCGTCGCGCAGCTTCTCCGCGAACCAGATGTACCTGGGAAAAGAAATGGGACGACGACGACGACGACGACAACGACGACGACGACGACGAACCCAGGAGCACCCGTGCGGGTACGGAGCCTTCCCGGGCACTGACCAAACCATGGCCACAGCAAAAGGATCCACGTCGCCGCGCCAATGGCCAGGCGCAGCGTCCCAGAACGGGACGAACCACACAGCGGGCACATGGCGCCATTGGTGGAAATACCATGCCCATGGGATGCGCCGCGGGAGCGGCAGCTCCAAGACCACAGGGCCCCACGAGGGGAGCGGGTCGGAGCCCGCGCCGGGCAGCGACGGTGCCGGTGGCACCAACTGCCACACCCGATAATACCCTAGGTCTAAGACCCCCCCCTCGGAATTCCCCTGGGCGGCCCCCCCGGCGGTGGCCGGGGAGGACCCCCTCTGGGCCCAGGGGGGGCTCCCACCACGCGGAGTTCGAGAAAGGGAGGGGGGCGCCAGGGCCGCTCCAGCCCACCATCTTGAGCCTAAATGGCTAAAAGGAATGGGAGGGAGGAGACGAAAGAATAATATCGGGAGCTGGAGGAGGAGGAGCAGCAGCAGCAGTAGCAGGAGGGGAGAGATAAAGAGGATGAGGAAGGGGAGGAGGGGCTGGCCCCTGGGGAAGTTGGGCAGGATGAGGAAGAGGATGAGCACGCTTGAATAGGGCGAGGAAGAGGATGATAATGAGGAGGAGGAATGATGAGAAAGAGGATGGGCACGCTTGGATAGGTCCCTCGGAAGGCTCCAGGGGAGAGCGTGGATGCGTGCACGACGAGAGCTCTCTCGCTCGGTGGACCCGAAAACAGCGTGCCCCCAAGGGCGCAGAGACGCCCAGTAAACAGCGTGCCCTAAGGGGTCGCCCGGCAAACACTGCGCCGCAGTGGGCCTCATGGGATGGGCCAGAGTGCCTAGCACTGATTTGGGGAACTAGGGAGCGATCCTGCTCGTCGTGATCCTTCTGCCCTCCTCCCCCGCATCACCCTCCGCTGCTCTCCCTACCTCCTCCGCGCCCTGCTGGCTCTCCTTCCCATTGCCTTCCTCTTCCCTCTGACTCCTTGGGACAGTCGCTGGGCGCGCAGGAGCCAGGAGGGCGGTCGGCGCAGGCGGCTGCCGACCTGCCCATAGTGAAAGTTGTCACTGCGGGTGCCCAAGCTGTCGTGCAGGAGCGCCGCAGCCGGTCGGAGGTCGCCCTCCCCTCAACCCCTATCCGTTTCCACCGCCACCCCCCCTGCTGATTCGACCTCTGCGTCGGAGCACATGTCCTACTCCTAGGCTTCCCATGTGAAATGCATCCTGTTTCAGATATTTCTGATGGCCCCCTAATCTTCCCCCCAACTGACCCCCTCTCATATCCTCTCCTCCTCCCATTCCTCATCGACCTCCATCATTCCGACGCTGCTCACACCTCCAGAGCCTAGTTGTCAACATTCATCGTGCCATCGTCTTCCTAGTCAGCCTGCCCTCGGAGCCCCCCATCCCCGTCCGCGATGTCGTAGACGTTGCAGGGCACCCAGCCCCAGCCAGCTTCGCGCGCAGCGCGCTCAGGAGCTCCGATGCCTCCCCGGGCGCATGAGGAGGGGAGGCGGCCCTGGGGCTCGGCGAGAGGGGAGGCGACCCTGAGGGGAGGCAGGTCGAGAAGAGGGGAGGCGACCCTGAGGCGAGGAACAAGGGGGAGCAAGTGATGGCGAGAGACCCCGACCCAACAACTCTCGACTGCGAAAGGTGGCGGCCACCCTCCCCCTACCCTGACCCGTGCCCCTCCAGCGCAAAGCAGCGTCACCAGCTGCCCTTCTTGGGGGCGGCCGTTGTCGGGGCAGATCGAGCGCTGCACCCACAGGGGGTCCACGAAGCAGCAAGGCGGGTGCCCGGCCATCCCTGGAGGCTGAGCGCGAGGAGCTATCCCTGCATCCGCTCCCTAAGGTGCCCCCTGGAGGCACTCGAGGCAAAATGCCTAGGAGCGGGGGGGGGAGCAAGGGGGAGGCGACGACGACGCGGGTACTCCTCGACCCAGTTGATGGACCCAGGGTGGAGCAGCCATATGTAATACCAAATCCCCAATAAGGCAATCGTGAGACTAGGTAGGATATGCTCCGAGCCCCCCACCATGGCTCTCAGGACCCCGACGCACACAGGGCGTCGAGCCGATCAAGCAGCGACGCATACATATCGCCCCTCTCGTCCACCACTGATCGAGCAAGGCCGCCAAGTCTCGTTGAGATCGATGTTGCCTCCGAGGGCTCTCGTGGGGAGGGGGCGAGAAGACAGTTCTAATGCGTGCACGAGACCAGGTTGCAAACGCTATCGCAAACGTGTGAAACTCACATGCACCGCGCCATTTGCGTAAAAAAAAAAAAAAACGCATCATATTGCTGCTGCATTTGTTTTTTTTTGTTGCTGCTCGCCGCTCTCCGCTGGCCCCACCCCCCCGGCCCGTCCCTCGCCCGTCCCCCCCCCGTCCCCCCCCCGCCCCCCCCCCGTCCCCCCCGTCCCCCCCCTCTCCCCCCCGCCCCCCCCCCCCCCCCCCCGCCCCCCCCCCCCCCCCCTCCCGCCCCCCCCTCCCGTCCCCCCCCGCCCCCCCCCCGCCCCCCCCCCGCCCCCCCCCCGCCCCTCCCCGCCCCCCCCCCCCGCCCCCCCCTCCGCTCAGACGCTCGCGACCCGAGGGCGATCGCACAGAGTTTGGCTGTGCTTACCATGTGTGTTTCTTTGTTTGCGTTGTTTCAGCGTTTTGTTGTTTTGTGTTTGTGTTTGTGGTTTGCGTTGTTGCGGTGGGGATTGCGCTTCGTGCTTCTGCGCGTTTTGCATCGGCTTTACGTTCGGCGTTGCGCTCTGTTGCGCCAGCTTGCGCGCTGGGAGTGCGAAGGGGTGCTGAACGACATCGAGCGCCAACCGAAGACGCAATCACTGCACCTCGCATGGCGATGTCTAGCGCCGTCGAGCCCCCAGGGGGCCAGCGAGG